AACTGCCACACCTGCCAAGGTGCTACGTAACAGCACCAATGATCCAGTCGACTCAATCACCCGGAAGCTTGAGAAGTTGAGTTTGCTGGTCCACGACCTGCGCCTCTACCTGGCTGCTGACAGCCAGCCCGACGACCGCCCCGCCAACACCTGGGAGGCTACCGCGAGGCCCTCTGTGGCTCGGGCCTACCTGGCAGAGGATGCTGACGAGTGATGAGGGTGAGGCAGAGGTACAAGCGGCTGCAAGAGGTGGCGATGCTAGCGGCACTGAGCCATTCGCCGCCGCCGCTAAGTGCATTGCTGGTGAGGGCACCAGCTTCGTTTGGTGGGGGGAACCACAGCTGTGACAGCAGAACAGCTCCCCTGCCACCCCAATTCCCAATTCCCAACCCACAAATTTTACTTTTTCGAACGATCGAATCAATCAAAGCGCGCCCGCGGATATTCAAACAGCCTGCAGATATTTTCATATCAGCAGACTGACTTTTCACCCACCTGTCACAGATTTTCCCTCGCCCGTTCGGTTTTTTGCCGACAGCTGGCTAGCAGCCAGACTATATAAGGAGCCTCGATGCCCTGACAAGATCATCTTTTCTCTCCCTTTGTGCTGGAGTGCCCCTGTGTAATAACAGGCGCCCGCCGCCCCAGCCCCGCCCGAAGGAGAAGGATCCTGCCGCTGCGACCAGCGCTCGGCAGTCACCCCAGCGCTCTCACGAGGCTCCCCGCTCTCACACAAAGACAAAACAGGCCGGCCGGAACCTTCTGGACCCGCGCCGCCTTTTTGCACCACAGAGGGGCGGATGGCTGCAAGGGAAGGAGAGGAAGGCAGGGAGGTTCCGGCTGCGGCTTGCACGGTTGGAGTTGTAGAGCATCGATGCGCCATTCGATGCATCATAGATCTCCAACTGAGTTCCCTGCAGTACCCCGAATCAGCCCAGTTGTAGTTGGGCAAATGGGGCCGATTTGGCTGCTTCGCGATATCGAGACGGGGTTGAAAGTTTCCTGTATCGAATGCAGCAGTCAAACTGCCATTTAACACGCGATTAGAGTGTCTTCCACCGAGATGGTAGCCGCCACGTGGGCTCCAGCCTGGCAGAATGCATGGCTACAAAACGCCCCACCGCCTTCCTAACATCACCAACCCCCATTTCATTCAGTCCCGTCCCGCCTCAAGGCGGAGAAGTAGGCCACACCCCTCTGCACTCGTGCTCTGGGGGTCTACCACCAGCAGGCACCATGGGCGCCTCCACCGACACGCCCCTGTGCAAGGACCCCTCCAAGTGGAACGCCTTTGACCTGTGGTCCTTCGGATGGATGAACAAGTGAGGGCCTAGAGGGGGTGGCGGGGCAGATGGAACTGCAATGGTGCCCGTAGGTGGTGGGCTCCTCAAGAGTAGGTTTCCCCTGCACTTGCATTTGGCCTCGGGAGGCTACCTGGGTCGCGTTGAACGACCAGCAAATGGCCGCGATGCTGCAGGATCGTCCCCGCTGCCCGCCGCGGCGAGGTTGAGGTGGCCGACCTGCCGCTGCCCGAGGCTCAGCAGGCTGAGCCCTGCTACGAGGAGCTCAACACCAACTGGGAGGCGGCTGTGCAGGAGGCCAAGAAGGCTGGCAAGGAGCCCAAGCTGATGAAGGTGGGTGGTGCAGCGGGGTGGCGGCGCCGGGCGGCAGCTCCCAGCGCTCGAAAACGCTACAACCTGTGCTGCTGCCTGCGGCAGCTCCTGCGAAGGAAAACGCACCAGCATCCTGCATGGCTGCATGAGTCGGGCGTGTGCTGCTCGGCTTTTGTATTGGCAGTCGGCAACGTGCCATGCGCCCAACCCCTACAACATGCACCCTCCTCAGCAGCCGCCGCGCCGCCCGGCCCTCACTTGCCGCAGGTGCTGTGGAAGACCTATGGCAAGGACATTGTGCTGGCTGGCATCTTCAAGCTGATGTGGTCCGTGTTTGTGATCCTTGGAGGTGAGTCACTGCCACCGTGTTGGCTGGCCTGGGCGGGACCGGATTGCACCTTGGTTGCATTCACCTAACGGCATTTCTTGCTGCCGCTGAGCGCTGCCACGCAACCCGAGCCAAGCTGCCTCTGCCTGGCCCTGACCCTGCTCCCCTGCCTTCCCTGCGCCCGCCCGTGCTGCAGCCTACTACTTCACCCGCTCCATCCTGATGTGCATCCGCACCCTGGAGGGCAAGGACGACTCCATCTACGACACCGAGTGGAAGGGCTGGGTGCTGACCGGCTTCTTCTTCCTGGACGCTTGGCTGCTGGGCATGATGCTGCAGCGCATGGCCTTCAACTGCCTCAAGGTCGGCATCAAGGCGCGTGCCGCCCTGACCACCATGATCGCCCGCAAGTGCTACAACATGGCCCACCTGACCAAGGACACAGCCGCCGAGGCTGTGGGCTTTGTTGCCAGCGACATCAACAAGGTTTTTGAGGGCATCCAGGAGGTGCACTACCTCTGGTGAGCGCGGGAAGCAGGGCAGCGGGGGGCTGCCTGCCACAAGTGCGTAGATGCATGCATGGCCTGGTCAGCCCGCCAGCTGACAGCATCCTCCTGCACTCACGAGTGCCGCCCCTGCCCACCTCCTCAACCCCGCAGGGGCGCCCCCGTGGAGGCGGGTGCCATCCTGGCTCTGCTGGGCACCCTGGTGGGCGTGTACTGCATCGGCGGCGTCATCATCGTGTGCATGGTGGTGCCGCTCCAGTACTACTTTGGCTACAAGATCATCAAGAACAAGATCAAGAACGCGCCCAACGTCACCGAGCGCTGGTCCATCATCCAGGTGAAGCCGGCTGGCTGCCACTGCTGCCCTGATCTGCTCCTGTGCTCCTTGCTCCTTCTGTGCTCCAGCTCTGCGCCTGACACATGCCGCCTGCCCTTCCCTTTCCCCGCCTGCAGGAGATCCTCCCCGCCATGAAGCTGGTCAAGTACTACGCCTGGGAGCGCTTCTTCGAGAAGCATGTGAGCCTGCCGGCAGCAGACCTGTTGAGCTGGCTGGACTGGGCTGCTTGTCATGCTGTGCTGCACGCCATGCTGCTGAGAGACCAGCTTGCCTGCCTGCCTGCCCACTCACTATTCCCTGCCCCTCACCTCCCTCCCTCGCCCCCTGTGCCTGCAGGTGGCTGACATGCGCACCCGCGAGCGCCACTACATGTTCTGGAACGCTGTGGTGAAGACCGTCAACGTGACCATGGTGTTTGGCGTGCCCCCCATGGTCACCTTTGCCGTGCTGGTCCCCTACGAGCTGTGGCACGTCGACTCCTCCACCAGCGAGCCCTACATCAAGCCCCAGACCGCCTTCACCATGCTCTCCCTGTTCAACGTGCTGCGCTTCCCCCTGGTGGTGCTGCCCAAGGCCATGCGCTGTGTGTCGGAGGCCCTGCGCTCTGTGGGCAACCTGGAGAAGTTCCTGGCTGAGCCGGTGGCACCGCGCCAGGACCTGGAGGGCAAGCCCGGCGCCCAGCTGAGCAAGGTGGGCTGGGTGGGGGATGCCTCGAGTGCATGAAGCAGCGGCAGCAGCCGACACACCATCTGCCGTCGTCCATGTCCCACACATGCATGCGCTGGACATGCTTCCCTCCCCTCTTACTCCCATCGCGCCCCTCCCGCTCCCCGCTGCAGGCTGTGCTGAGGCACGAGATGGACACCAGCGGCTTCACCCTGCGTGTGCCCGAGTTCAGCGTCAAGGCCGGAGAGCTGGTGGCGGTGGTTGGCCGCGTCGGTGCCGGCAAGAGCTCCATCCTGCAGGCCATGCTCGGCAACATGCAGACGGCGAGTGGTCTCGCCAAGTGCCAGCACAGCGCCTCATCCTGTCTCCCTTTTCTGGTCTTCCTTTCCTGGCCCACTTAATCCCTCACTCTGCTGCACTGCTCCTTTGCTGGTCCATGGTGCAGGTGGAGGGCACCGCCCACTCTGGCGGCAGGATTGCCTACGTTCCCCAGACGGCCTGGTGCCAGAACCTGTCCCTGCGCGACAACATCACGTTTGGCCAGCCCTGGGATGAGGCCAAGTACAAGCAGGTGGGCTGGCAGCTTCGGGGCTGGCTTGGTTCACAAAAATGGAGGGGAATAGGCACGTCTCCCCGGTTGCTGCTGCCTGGCAGCGCACGAGTTACCAGAGCCATGTGCTGTGCTGTGCTGTGCCGGCCCTCTGACCACTGCTGCTGCTGCCGTGCCGCGCGCCTGCAGGTCATCCACGCCTGCGCCCTGGAGCTTGACCTGGCGATCCTGGCTGCCGGCGACCAGAGCAAGGCCTGCGCGGCATCAACCTGTCTGGCGGCCAGCGCCAGCGCCTCAACCTGGCCCGCTGCGCCTACTTTGACGGCGACCTGGTGCTGCTGGACAACGCCCTGTCTGCTGTGGACCACCACACCGCCCACCACATCTTTGAGCACTGCGTGCGCGGCATGTTCCGCGACAAGGCCACCGTGCTGGTGACGCACCAGGTGGGGCGCAGCGGCGTGCTGGGTGGCCTGGCTGGAGAGTGTGTACCGGCATGCCGCCTGCCTGCCCTTGCGACAGCCTGCCAGCCTCTTGACCTGTTTCCCTTGGCCGGCTGTTGCAGGTTGAGTTCCTGCCCCAGTGCGACAAGGTTGCCATCATGGACGACGGCACCTGCGTCTACTTTGGCCCCTGGAACGCCGCCGCCCAGCAGCTGCTTTCCAAGTACCTCCCCGCCAGCCACCTTCTGGCTGCCGGCGGCAACGCCGAGCAGCCGCGCGACACCAAGAAGAAGGTTGTCAAGAAGGAGGAAACCAAGAAGGTGCGGGTGGAGCCGGCCCTGCACTTTGCGGTTGCCCCTGTGGAGGCCTCTAAGCTCGGGCAAGACCAGGCAATTGACAGCCGCCCGCCGTTCCCCTCGCTGCTGCTGCAGACCGAGGACGCTGGCAAGGCCAAGAGGGTGCACAGCGCCAGCCTCACCCTCAAGTCTGCCCTGTGGGAGTACTGCTGGGACGCCCGCTGGATCATCTTCTGCCTCTCCCTCTTCTTCTTCCTCACCGCCCAGGCCTCGCGCCAGGTGGGTGGGTGTGCCTGCAACCGCAGTCAGCGTGGTGCCGCCTCCAGCTCGCTCAGCAGCACCGCTTGCTGGCCAGCCCAGGCACCACAGGGCTGGTTCCACCTTTGCCGCTCGCCCTAAACCCTCTCCCTTGCAGCTTGCAGACTACTTCATCCGCTGGTGGACCCGCGACCACTACAACAAGTATGGTGTGCTGTGCATCGACGAGGGCGACAACCCGTGCGGCCCCCTGTTCTACGTCCAGTACTACGGCATCCTGGGCCTCCTCTGCTTCATCGTGCTCATGGCCTTCCGCGGCGCCTTCCTCTACACCTGGTCTCTGGGCGCCAGCTACCGGCAGCACGAGAAGTCCATCCACCGCGTCCTCTACGCACCGCTCGGCTTCTTCCTCACCGTGCGTCTCAGCTGGTTGGGTGGTGCTGGGGCGATTGTCGGCATGTGCAGATTGGCGTGGCTGCTTTGCAGCAGCACTTCCCTCTCGCCTGTTCTGGCTGCCTCTTCTCACCCACCTGTTCCCACCCCCCTCCACCCTCCCTGCAGACCCCCGTGGGCGACCTGCTGGTCAGCTTCACCAAGGACCAGGATGTGATGGATGATGCCCTGCCTGACGCCCTCTACTACGCCGGCATCTACGGCCTCATCCTACTGGCCACCACCATCACCGTCTCAGTCACCATCCCCCTGTTCTCCGCGCTGGCAGGCGGCCTGTTTGTGGTGTCGGGCATCATGCTGGCGATCTACCTCCCCGCTGCCACACACCTCAAGAAGCTGCGCATGGGCACCTCAGGTGCGGGGCGGTGGTGCAAGGGGGGTGGCGGCTCACCACTGCTGCCCGCCATACTATTCCCTTGCCATCACCTCAAATCACCTGCCTCCCAACCTTGCTCCCTGCTGCAGGCGACGTGGTGACCCTGATTGCTGAGGCTCTGGACGGTCTGGGCGTGATCCAGGCCTACGGCAAGCAGGCCTACTTCACCACGATCACCAGCCAGGTGAGGCAGGCAACCTGCACTGGAGCGGCTGTGCTAGCCGTGCTTGGGTGGAGTGAGACAGCCTCTGGCCATGCTCCCTCTGGCGCGCGCCTGAACTTTCCTCCTCGCCTGCGCCGTGCCATGTCGCCCCGCTCTGCAGTATGTGAACGACGCCCACCGCGCCCTGTTTGGCGCCGAGAGCCTCAACCTGTGGCTGGCCTTCATCTGCGACTTCTTCGGCGCCTGCATGGTGCTGTCGGTGGCCTGCTTCGGCATCGGCCAGTGGTCCACCCTGGGCTCCTCCTCCGTTGGCCTCGCTTTCTCCCAGTCCATCCAGGTGTGTGTGTGGGGTGGGTGGGTGGGTGGGGGTGGGGGGGCTGCTCAGGAGTTGGGGCAAGCGAGCTCTTGTGTCTTATGCCTGCCCTTGTTCCCACCCTGGTGCCGACCCCCTCCCCCTGCTGCTTGCCCTTCCCGCTTCCCCCTGCAGATGCTTGTGTTCTACACCTGGTCCATCCGCCTGGTGGCCGAGTGCATCGGCCTGTTTGGATCCGCCGAGAAGATTGCCTGGCTGGCCAACCACACACCCCAGGAGGCCGGCAGCCTGGATCCACCCAGCCTGCCCGGCAGCGGCGAGACCAAGGCTGCCCCCAAGAAGCGGGGCACCGCTGGAAAGTTCCTGCCTCCTCTCAAGGTGTGCCTTGCACTGTGCAGATGCGCTGCTGTGGAGGAGGTTGGATCAGCAGGCGCATGCTGCAGCCCATGGCGCACCTCACCATCTGCTTCTGTCGGTGCTCTGCTGTGCAGGACGAGGACCTTGCTATTGTGCCCACCGGCGGCCCCAAGCTGCCCTCTGGCTGGCCCCGCACCGGCGTGCTTGAGTTCAACCAGGTTGTGATGAAGTACGCCCCACACCTGCCCCCCGCCCTGCGCGGCGTCTCCTTCAAGGTCAAGAGCGGCGACAAGGTTGGCGTGGTGGGGCGCACCGGCTCCGGCAAGTCCACCCTGCTGCTGGCTCTCTACCGCATGTTCAACCTGGAGAGCGGCGCCATCACCCTGGACGGCATCGACATCTCCACCCTCACCCTGGAGCAGCTGCGCCGCGGCCTGTCGGTCATCCCCCAGGAGCCCACCGTGTTCAGCGGCACCGTGCGCACCAACCTGGACCCCTTTGGAGAGTTCGGCGCAGACGCCATCCTGTGGGAGGCGCTGCGCGACTGTGGCCTGGAGGAGCAGGTGTGTGGGGTGGTCCTATGGGCTGGCTGGCTGCCTGCCTGCCTGCTGGCTGCCTGATAGGCTGCAAGGCCCGCCACCAAACCTGGGAGTGCGGGGCATTTCCCTGCTTTCCTCGCCTTGCACCTCACACCCTGCCACTCCCTCCTCATGCGCACAGGTCAAGGCGTGCGGTGGCCTGGATGCCAAGCTGGACGGTACCGGCGGCAACGCCTGGTCCATTGGCCAGCAGCAGCTGATGTGCCTGGCTCGCGCCGCGCTGAAGAAGGTGCCGGTGCTTTGCCTGGATGAGGCCACCGCCGCCATGGACCCCCACACCGAGGCGCATGTGCTGGAGATCATTGAGCGCATCTTCTCAGACCGCACCACGCTCACCATCGCGCACAGGTGGGCAGCTGGGGCTGCGCGCGGGTGTCTGCTGGGTGGTGGCTGGGACGAGGTGGCTGAGCCGCTCTCTTGCCCCTGCTGGCTGCTGGCTGTGTATCCCTGGACCTCTTCTGATCACCCTCCCACCTGCCCTCCCTCCCCTCCCGCCTGCAGGCTGGACAACGTGATCCGCTCCGACCTGGTGGTTGTGATGGATGCGGGCCAGGTGTGCGAGATGGGCACCCCCGACGAGCTGCTGGCCAACCCTCAGTCCGCCTTCAGCCAGCTGGTGGACAAGACGGAGGCTGCCAGCGCCGCCGCGCTGCGCAAGATGGCTGCCGACTTCCTGGATGAGCGGGCGCGTGGCCAGAAGCTTGGCTTCAAGCCGCGCCCCTCGCTGGAGGAGGTGCGCCTGTCGCTGGAGGGCGGCGCCGCGCAGGGAGGCCTCGCCTCCTACGTCTCCGCCCTCGCCCAGCCCTGAGCGCCGAGCGGCCAGTGGCGTGTAGGGCATTTGCTTTGACTCGAACGATTCTGATTCAGTACACAACACGCACCCATTTGTTTATGAGCCCTGGGCTCGACCCCACTCACCGGCAGCCATGCTCTTGTTCCGTGTGTCAATTGACGGGCCCCAGAACAACAGATGTCTTGCTTCTTCTCTTTTCCTGATGAAATTTGAGAAATTCCAACCGAACCTGCATTTTCTTTTATTGCCACACATTTTCTGCCATCCGATTCGAGCGCCTCTGCAGAGCCGCATGCTCATTTTGTGCCCGTAAGCCTGTCGCTGACTGGGCGCCATCTTTGTCCAGTTGTACTCCCCTTGCTGTTCTCTACTCCTTCTGCCAAGAGCTACCAGCTCCCGCACGCCAGTGTAACCTCTCACTCTCTCACGCTCTACACGCCATGCGAGCCGTAGCAGGAGGTGCAGCACGCACCCAGGGGAGCCAGCTGCTTCCCAACTCATTGCAAACGACTTAAAGCAGCACAAGCAGCCACAGCCACGCCAAAGGACCAGCACGTAAGGCAGCAGCCACCCCATGGAAGACAAGAGGCACGGCAAGTCAAATTCTAGTAGTGTGGAGGAGCGCCGTATGGCTGCGGGCCCGCCGCCACTGGCAGCAGGTCGTCGTGTGCAGGAGGCAGGGGTGCAGCGCCTGAGCCGGCTCGCTTGTCTTTGGGTGGCAACCTGAGGTTGGGAAAGCAGGCAGGCAGAGGCAGCAGGTGGGAAGAACGGCTTCCAGACGGCCAGCCAGGGCATGAGCAGGTGGAAGATGGCAGGCCGCACACGCAGAGCAGCCACTCACCGTGCCCTCTCCTGCTCCCGACTCCTGCTGCGGCGTCGGTAGTCGCGGCCCCTGTCCCGGCTGCGCTCCCGCCGGCGCTCCCGGTCTCTGCTGCGGCTGCGGCTGCGCCGTCGCTCCTTGCGGTCCCGGTCGTCATACCGCCGCCTGTCGCGATCATCGTACCGCCTGCGGTCGCGATCATCGTACCGCTTGGTGTCCCGCTCGCGGTCCCGGTCATCTCGGTAGCTGCACACCAAAGTGGCACAACAGAGCGGGAGTCTGGAGGAACGCAGGACCTCCATGCCACAGCCAACAGCGACACAATCGCAATGCAAACGACACCATTGCAGCGCAACGCCATGAGGCTAGGCCCGCTGCCATAGCAGGCGCAGTGCTGGGCGCAGCGCCGGGCTGCAGCACACACAAACCGCACGTGCCTGCTGCTGCGGTACTCCCTGCCGCCGCTGCTGGCGCCGCCGCCGGCGACGCTGCTCCGGCGCCGCCGCTGGGCCTCCACCAGCTGGGCGTGCACCTCATGCAGCTTCTTCCAAGAGCTGCGGGTAGGTCGGGCAGGGCATAGCAGTGGAGGGCAGGTGCGGAGGACAGCACAGGTTGGTGGCAGGAGCGGAAGTGTAGGCACACGCAGCTCAACGAGCGGGCTTCACGTGCGGTCGCTCCCTCACTTGTAATTCCTGCCAGAGTAGTGGTCCTGCAGCCGGCTCTCCTCGTCGTTGATGATCAGCCCCGACACCTGGCACACCTGCAGGACGCAGCAGGGGGCACAGCACAGGGCAGCAGTGAAGAGGGACGGCAGCAATGGCGCCATGCCTCAGCAGTAAAGTATGCGAGGTCATGCTGCGCTGTGGCACGCAATCAGCCCGCCACCCCGTTGCCTGCCTGCTCCGCAGGTCAGCTTGCAGCAGCTGCGCCAGCCCTCGAGCTTAGCGCCATGCCGTGCGGCCACGCAGCCCAGCCCACGCACCTTCTGGTGCAGGTTCCTGCCCGTCTTGGCGTTGGCCCGCGCCTGCGCCTGCTGCTCCAGCATGCCGCGCTGCACCTTCAGGCGCTCCGCATCCGCGGCCGCAGCCTGTGCCCCATCCACATCTCCCTCCTCTCCCAGAGTCTGCAGCGCAGCACAGGCAGGTACGATCTCAGGGGGCTTCGCACGCCGCTCCAAGCCAGCCAGCCACGTGCGCCGCATGCTTGCCCCTGCCGCTGCTTACACAAGTGTCGCAGAGCCAGCCCAGCCCCAGACGCCGTCGCAGCTCTGCCCAAAGGCAAACAGCTGCAGGCAGTACGCCCTGCTGCTGCCCATCCCAGCCCCCGGGCCCTCCCAGCTCACCGCTGCCCGCCCCAGGAGGTCGTTGATCTGCGTGGTCAGGTTGTCCAGGCGCTGCTGGTCCTCGGCCATCACCAGCGGCGTGTCCAGCCCCTTGAGCCGCTCGGTGTTGGAGTCGATGCGCTTGCGCAGGTCGGACAGCAGGCGGTCAAACCAGGACAGCAGCTCCGCCTCGTACCTGCGCTAGGAGGCGGCTGGGGCAAGGTGGGGTGAGTAGGGGTTGGGGTGGGGGGTGGCGCAAGGGAGTGATATGGGGTTGAAGCGCCCCCTGACAATGAGCCGCCCCGGCAGGCGCACGCGAGCCACCCACCCGTATCGCTCCTTGCTGCGGTCGTCCAGCGCCACCCACTGCTGCTTGCAGCCCTCATTGTGCACCAGGGGACAGTCCCCGCAGTCATTCTTGGTCCGCCTAAACTCCTGCACAGCGGGCGGGCCGAGCGCACACGCAGGCAGCCGGCCGTGTTGTCCAACAGGACTGGCCATGCTGAGGATACAGGCAGCCGGCAGCCTGCCAGCCCACCGCGCGGGAGTGCACAGCAGCAGGTGGCAGCGCACGGCAGCCTGAGCCAGCGGCGGCGCCCGGGAGCTGCACCTCGTGGGGGCAGAAGCCGCACAGGAAGTACTTGCAGATGTCCTTGTCACTAAACTTGCGCTCCACCCTGCAGAGCACGGGACGGGATGGATGCAATCGGGCTGGGGCTGGGAGTCCTTTCACTGTGAGTCCTATCAGGGCATGAGGTGTGTGTTGCGGCGGCGGCCGCACGTATGGGCGGGCTGACCCACTCACTTGTACTTGTCCAGCTCAGACAGAGGCACGTCGCGGTGCTGGCCCATCAGGGCTGCACGCAGGGATGCGGGGAAACGTTAGTTGAGTGCAGCCTAGGCAACGCCTGCTGCTCCCTCCAGCCCTTGGCCGAGACCTCTTACCGTCGAGCTGGGCGCGGATGTCGTCCATGCTGCTCCCTCACGCCGTCCTGTACGAGAGTAACCAGTCTTGGAAGCCTCCCCCTGCAAAAGGCAGGCCACCAGGGTGCAGCGGGGTGAAGTGCGTTCGCACAGCGGCAGCGGCAGCGGCGGCAAGGCAAGGCAGACTAGGGTGTCAAGGGCGGCGGCGGCTCAGCGGCGCTCGCCACCGCCTCCCTCGCACGCCACACTGGATCCACACCTGTTGGGTGGCCAAGTGGCGCCCGATCAGGGCGGCAAAATTGCCCAACCCAGCAGGGAGGCTCCAGCAGGCCGGCTGCCGCTGCCACAGGCCTGCAAACAACACAACACGTGTGGATGGGCGTCTCCTGCAGCGTTTTCCCGCCGCCCAGGATGAGCTGGCAGTCTCAGATCATTTTTCGAGCAGAGAGAGCGGAGCCAGCAACATTGTATCCTCCCTAGACCGTGAATGTCATTTGCGGCACGCCGGCTTCACGATCGAGAAGGCTGCAAGCGAGTTGGCGGTGCCTGCAGCACCGTAGCGTGGGGGAGGGGGCGCGGCGTGCAGGGGAGGCAAAATGGAGAAGCGCACGCTGCGCAGCCGGAAGGTCTCGGAGCGGATGGCGGTGGTGGACGAGGCCGACCGGCGGCGGGTGCGCGTGGGCCTGTTGCCGCAGCCGCCTCCTCAACTTCAGCTTGGATCCGGCCCTTTTCCGGCATTTGGAAGCAGCAGATTAAATATGGGCTGATTTGGCGCCAACCACAGCCCCTTGGTGTACCAGCAGCTCATCCCGCCACTTCGCTGCTCTTGCCCTCCACCAACGTCTGCTCGCTGGGGTCTTGTACGCATGCCCTGCCTGCCGCAGGTCATCCAGGCACGGCTGGCGGCGCTGGAGGAGGACAATCACAAGGAGGACGATTTTGCGGCGGGGTCAGATGACGACGAATTTGAGCTGCCAAAGGGCTCCGATGATGGTAGGCCCTGCAGGCGCTGCTTGGCCATTGCTCTAACATGCTACACTGTGCGGGTGGGTCCCTGGGAAGCATGTGCTGGATGCAGCTGCTGCCCGCATGCCGACCTGCGCGTGCCTGAGCCGCATGTGGGCTGCTACAGATGGCGACGAGGGCCCCGCCAGTGGTCGCAAGAAGAAGAAGGTCAAGGTCGGCGGCGGCATGCGAAAGACACGCGGCATGATTGCCGACAAGTCAAAGGGGCCCAAGGCCTTCAGGTGCGTGCCGGGAGATGGTCGCACTGCCGCCAGCCTGGCTAAGACGTACAGCAGGGTACAAGGCATTCGATGTGCATTGACAAGTGCTGGAAAACCAGCCCTAAGTATTCCCTTGCCTCGCGGCTGGTAGCACACCTCCTGTGTGCCGACTATCCTCCGCTGGCGCGCGGTGCCTTCCCGACCTCGCACTGCACCTGTGCAGGGACTATCTGGAGGAGGCTGAGCTGGAGCGGCTGCCAGAGGGCACGCCCAGCTACCTGACTGCGGCGGTGGGGCCGGCGCGCACCGCCGCTCCCCGCAAGTTCTGCTCCGTCTGTGGCGATGTGTCCACCTACACCTGCACCCGCTGCGGCTCGCGCTTCTGCAGCCGCCGCTGCCACGCGGTGCACACCGAGACGCGGTGCCTCAAGTTCACCGCCTGAGGCCGTCGGCGCGTGCTGTGACGCAGCAGGCTGGGCGCCCGTCTTGTCCCTGTGGAGAGGCAAACCTGCTTACATTTGATCTGCCCCTTTATGTACAATCAGCACTGTTCTTTCTTGGCTCTACTCTGCTCCCGCTCACATCTCCTAGCTGGCCCCAATGCCCCAGCTTGCATTCTGCTGCTGTACCATGCTCGTACCACTTTCTTTTGCTGTCTCCTCAAGTCAACAAGATCAGGCATTACAGTTACTTTACACCAGAGTGCAGGAGGCCGCTTCAAGGCAGCAGCGGGGAGGGAGCAGCAGGGAGTTGGAGGGCCAAAAACAAGAACAGTGTGTGTTGCAGCAGAAGTAAAGGGGGACATGGCGGCAGGCTGGCAACCTGTGCTGCTGCATCTACACGTGCATCCCAGAAGTGTTAAAAAAAGCAGTTGGCTGACCAGGCTGGCCGCGGTCAGTTGCTCTTGTAAAACTGCTGCAGGAAGGGCGACATCGTGGTGGGCTTTGTCACGCGGTCCTTGGCGGGGTTGTGGATGTACTGGGTGATAATATGGTGCCGCTGCTTGTGTTGCATGAGGATCATCTGCACACGAAAAAAGGGCAGGGGCAGCAGCTCAGCGCCGAGTTTTTATTGTAGCCAGTGAGAGTGCAGCAGGCAAGTTTCGAGGAGATGTCAGCAGCGTTACAGCTAGGCAGTGCTGCGGATGTGCAGTGCCACAGGAGTGCCAGGAATGCAGATGTAGTGTCGCTCCCTGATTGATGCCTCCTGCCCTGCCTGTTGCCATGTGGGCGCTGGCCGCAGCAACACAGTCGCGGCCGGCCGACCCGCCCCCAGTCTGCACGCACCTCCAGCTCCTCCCGCCCCTTGTACACCAGCAGGTCGATCACTTCAGGTGACTGCACATCCTTGTACTGGCGGAACAGGCTGGCCACATTGGTGCGCAGCTGCTGCACCGAGGTCAGCTCCTCCAGCCGGTAGTTCTTGGCCACCCAGGGCAGGCAACGGCAGACCTGCGGCAGCGAGCAAAGGGCGCTCGAGCCCTGGCCGCAGGAGCGGCGGGCAGCACCGGCGGTGGTGTCCACGGTGCGATCAGTCTGCCCTCCAGCACTTCCCCCGCGTCAAGACTCACCTCCTTGAAGAACTCCTTGGCCGCCTGGTGCTTCACCTCGGCCTGCTGGGTTGCCCGCACCGCGGAACCCAGCACAGCCCTCGCTCCCGCAACCTGGGGCGCCACCATCGATCCTGCCGATCAAGCTGCCCCCAGCCGCAAGCCCAGCGCAAGAGGGGTGGCACAAGTGTCACTCTCCTCCTGAGGTGGGAGGGCAGCAGGGGCGGGCGGGCGGGCCGGCGCTGCCTCACAGTGGGTCCGATCGTCTGTTTGCGGGGCAGGAGAGGCTGCAGGCCCTCCATGCACGAGCCAGAGACCCGGGCGGGCGGGGTTCTTCATGCAGCTCTGCGCTTCCCAACTCTTTATTTCTGTGTGCCCATCCCAACGGCGTCCACCCCTGGCACAGGTGAGCAGCTGCTCTGGGGCGGCGGGTACCTGGTGCTTCTCTGCCACCCATTGATGGCAACGAATCTTTGAGAACTGAAACCCCAGGTGGACACTATAGCAAACCCTGAGGGTAGCAGGCTGCACCACCCCGCCCCGCCCTGCCGCCTGCCCCGAGCCTGCTCTGCATGCCTCCCCACCGGCATTGCCCGCCCGCTGCACCCCTGCACACATGAGTGGCCCGCCTATGCATCAGCAACTCGGTCCATCCTCCGTGCGGCTCTCCCACTCTATGGAGCAAGACCGCCCCATTACAATCCGAGGAGAGGAACGCCCCGTTTTTTTGAACGGGCCGGACGCCCACTGAGGGCCCGTCAAGCAGCGGGGCAACAACCCCACATCCCACACACCCTGCACACATGCTCCAGGCCTGGCAGCAGCACCCCTGACTTCCATTGTTCGATGCTGCTGCCGATGTGCAGAGCAGGGCCACGGCGGGGCGCCACGCGCCATCGCTGCGTCGGCGCCGGCATTCATGTGGCCACCTGCCTCCAGTGCGCTTCGGGGGTGAGGCGCAGCCTGCTTTGGTCATTGTCCAGCAGCCTGGGGCTGGCTGAAGGAGTGAAGAAACCATGTTGATCACACACTTCTGAGCATCCGCCTGAAGAGATAACAACATCGCTGCGTTCTTTCTGACCTTCCTGCCCCACCATGCACACTGCATCTACCTCGCCGCAAAGTCTTGCATGCGGCGCCGCCACTGCACCGTGGTGCCTGCCTGCCTGCCTTAGCGCTTGTCTGCCTGCCTGCCTGCGTGCTTACCTGCCTGCGTGCATGCCCTGCCTTCCCTGCCTGCCTGCAGAGGTAAAGCACATGGTGAAGGCGGTCGAGGGCGGCCTGCTTGGTCAGGCCTGCACCGAGGTGATGATTTGGGAGAGATGGTGAGTTGAGGTGGAGTTGAGGCGGGGGAGACGCATTGCACGTGCCCGCTCTACTGCTTGCTTAACAGCACAGTGGGGGCTGGGGGCTGCAGACGGGCGCTCTGCCAAGACTGAGGGTTGCTTGGAATGCGTCGCCGGTGGTTTTTAGTCGTTGATGCCTGCTGATTGTGATCCTGCTGCTGGCTGGGCCTGCCTCTCTGCTGCTGCTGCAGGCGGGCGGCTCTAAGGTGATGAAGCGCATGTTGCTGCTGAAACCCACCCAAGTGATGATGTGAGAGCCTCAGCAGGGTTCGCTTTCTGGCAGCCAATCGCGCTTTCTGGACCGGCGCCAAGAGCCTTCTCAGAGAGGCAGCCACTCCCAGGCCGCACCTTCGCCACCCCCCGGCTGCGTCGTCATGCCCCACAACACTTTCCCCCGACTCTTTGCTCCCTGATTCTTGCTGTCACATGAACCACTATGATTGTAAACTGCTGGCAATGCAGATGAGCGAGCAACGACCTGAATGTTGGCGCTAAACGGCGGCAGGCCGCTGGCGGGCGCTGGCCTCAGCGCTAGCATTTCTGCAAGTTGTTGAAGTAGTTGAGCGCTGCACCTTCCTAGTTCTTACACGTGCGCACCGCTTCCTAGGCCAGCCGCCCCCCCCCCCCCAGTGGGCATGCAGCCCCTCACGCGGGCGGCGGCGGCGCCAGCGGCGGGGCGGTGGCAGGCTGTAGGCGTGGGGTCCCACTCGCGCGGTGCGGGATCAGATCGGGCCCAAATGAGCGTATGAAGGGGGGAGCGCGCGGGTGCGCCGGGGATGCGGCTGCCAGAGACCCCGTGGGGCGTAGAAGGCAGGAGGAGACCCTGGCTACTGGTCTATGCATATGTGTAGTTTGGGCCCGCAGCCGCGAGCCAGTTTGATGTCCGAGGGCGCCCAGCTACTGCTGGTGGCCGATGACCTCACACAGGCCAGTGGGGCGGGCGCATGCATGAGGCGGGATGTCGTCCTGAGCCCTGCCGGGGCTCGCCCCGCTGCCAAGGGCCGCGGCCGGGCCAGGCGGTGGGCGCGATGCGCCCCCCGTCCCCTTGCCGGCGCTGCCGCTCGCTGCCGCTACCCGCCGCCACCGCCTGCCGCTGGCGCGCTCACTGCTTGGGCGGTTGATGAATCACTCCGATCAAATCTTAGGACACCTATGCTAGCAGCACTAACGCCCTTGAGCTGCGATGGCAAAAAACGATCGCTGACGCCCCAAACGCATGCATGCATTCTGCACGCTGAACCTGCTCGCTGATGCGAAACTTAAACTTTCGTTCTACTGAGCGAGCCTCACGGCTGTGCGGAAGCAGTTTATTGGAGACCTGAACTGAGAGCAGTGGCGGCGCACCCACCCCCTCATCTGCATCTGCATTGCACCGCTGCCCGCAGAAACCTTCGCAGCCATTCATTGCTTGATTCGTCAACGCCTTTTTGCTCCACTCGCCTGCAGAGCCCCTGTTCCACATGGGACTGTGGTGTGGACCTTTCATGCCAGCTAGACAACTTCTCCAGGTGCGATGCGGTTTTCTTTTGTTTTGCATGTTTTGCCTCTGGAAGCAACCATCATCTGCACATGCATGGCGGCGGCCGCTGCGCCAGACGATGATAACCCATCCATACCAACAACCACCGCATCAACTCGTGTGGATACTCTTTACATGCACCACTATCTGATGGTTGCTATCGGCCGCCTGCCGCTCACCCAGTCCCTGCTTGCCCTTCTGCTGCTGCCGTGACGATACCTAGCCCTGCCAATTTGTTTCCTGCCACGCGCTGTTCTCGCTTGTGCCTGACAGCCCTGGGCTGTTGACCAGTCCTGCCCTCTTCTCTTTCCTTCTTCTGCCACTGCTGTGACAACACCCAGCCCTGCCAGGGTGCTTTCCTGCCACCCGCTGTTCTGGCTTCTGCCTGACAGTTGCAGGCTGTTGAGCAGTCTCTCCATCCCTGTTCCCCCTTCTGCTGCTGCCATGACGACACCTAGCCCTGCCAGGGTGCTTTCCTGCCACCCGCTGTTCTGGCTTCTGCCCGACAGTTGCGGGCTGTTGAGCAGTCCATGCATTACGATCTATGCTTGCCACTCATCATGCCACTTTCGCCCGATTGACCAACCTTGATTGCAGGACCTCGCTGAGCCCTCGAACCGGTGTGGGACTTCCCAGCTGAAGACCCCATGGTGCTGCCCAAGGTAAGGACGCAGCGCGAAGGGCCACCTCAGCAAACCCTCGCTTCTCGCGCCTCACCAATGCCAAACTGCTGGGCGAAAGTCCCCGGGCACCCAGGCAGAAAGTGCCAACCCGAAAGGGTAGGACCCCCGCTCGCCCCTGCCGTCCGCCTTGGCGGCGGCAGCGTCGGCGGCGGGGCAGCTCGCCATAACCACAGTTATGTGGCCGGCCGCGGCTGTTGCCTTCGGGCGGCAGCCGTGCGTCAACACAACGGGGCTTACTCTCGCGCTGACGTCCTTACCCCCACCCAACACCCAACATACAGGCTGGCCATGGGCCAACGTCTTGCCCCTGGATCTGGCAGTCGCTCTGGACGCCGACCGCCTTCTGTGCCTACCCTCATTTTTCTTGTGCGTACCTGTGCTGCACACATGCATGCGCCATGTGTCTTCACGCCTGCCCGCGTTCACTGCCTGCACACGAAAGCTTGCGCCGTTGAGCATGCATTCACGAGTGGCATGATGAGAGCTATTCACCACAGACCTGTTCCGAGGAGGCATGGTTTTGCCCCCGTTGGAGACACACTGAATTCATGCACCACTCTGACCACTCGCCGCCTGCACCGCTGCTCGGCTGCCACTACCCTGCATGGCAGTCCTGCCGCTGACGGGCCCTGCCTTATCTCCACCGCCGGTGCAGGGACTTTGCTGGAGGACCTCAGCTGAGCCATCCGGGCGACAGACACTATTTTGTTTTTGACAAGCAGAGATGCATCCACTATCCCAAGAATAGGCACGGTTGGTGCCGCAGCACCACCGCAGCACAAGGACCAGAAAGACCAGCATGCGCCAAGTCTCCATGCGATGCGCCCCAACTCGTGCCATCCTTATTTGACTGCCTCTCCTGTCTTGCCTGATGCCTTTGTACAAGCAGTCGTGCGCATTTAATCAGACACAGTCGGAGAGTGCAGTCACAATCGACGTTTGAACAGAGCATCACAAGTGGCACAGATTTCAGGTTGGCTGGACCGGGACCTGCACGCTCAAGTCGCATCATGGCAGCTCATGCCGCGTAGGGCGTCTGCAGCCTGTTGAGGATGATTTCCACTGGGTCTGCGCTGCTGCTGAGGTGGAAGGGGAGCACCACCGCCTGCGCCACATCCTCAGGCTGGATCATCAGCTCCGGTCGCATCTCGCTGTATCGAGTGCCACCCTGGACAGCCGCCATGTCGGTGGCCACGTGGGCGGGCTGGATGAGTGTGACCTTGACCCCATGCTCGCGCAGAGCCTGCAGCAAGAGCAGGCCAGATGCAGGAGGCGCCTGGGAGCACCTGGCAGCTCACAGGCAGCCCGGCAGCACCCAGCAGCGCGGCATCGCCGATCTATGCCTGGCGCTGGCGCACCTCGTAGCAGCTGTTGCTCCATCCGCGGATGGCCCATTTGGTGGCGCTGTAGCTGGCCTCATCGGCCACGCCCTTGCACCCAGCAACGGAGCCCACATTCACAATGTGCCCGCCACCTGCAGGCAGGCGGGCATTCATGAAGGGCCGTGAAGAGCAGGGGAACGTGTGCATCGACAGCGGCGGAACCTGGCGAGCAGGCCCCCAGTGCCTGCCCACCTTCCTTGACCATCGCCGGCGCCAACAGGCGGGTGAGGCGCAGCGGCGCAAGCACGTTCAGCCTGCGGCAACGCAGGCAAGAGAGAAGAGATGAGAAAGCTGGCCTGCATTCGTTTGCCACGCCACCAGGCCACTCACCTGAGTGCCGCTTCCCAGGCATCCGGATCGCCCTCCTCCGGCGCTTGGCCAGGGTTGGGGTAAGCGCCCGCGCAGTTCACCAGCACATGGATGCAGCCGTGCGCCTCCAGCAGCGCTGCACCCAGCCTGTCCACCTGCGCACCGCAAGGGAGGCAGACGGGCGGAGGTCAGACATCTCAATGGGGGAAGCGGGAGTCGGAAGGCCAGCACAGCCCTGCAAAGCACACCCACCTCCTGTGGATTGCCAAGGTCGCAGGGGAACACTGCAGCGCCCGTTGCGCCGCTGTCCTTGCACCGACGGGCAGTCTCCCGCAGGGAGTCCTCGCTGCGCGCCACCAGGCACACCAAGGCGCCCTCGCGGGCCAGCCGCTCTGCGATGGCGGCGCCTGCACACACAGGCAGGTTGATGCACACGACACTTTGCCAGACACCTCTGCTTGGGCAGCAGCAGAACACGACTGCCGGGCTCACCAACGCCCTTGGAGGCGCCTGTGACCAGAGCCTTCTTCCCAGCCAGCATGGCTGCCGTGCTTCCTAGGGTTGTGGGAAGGGTTGAAAGAGATGGAACGGTGAGGAGCCCAAGATGCCCCTGGCTGCGCACGGCTGCTGCCTGGCTGTCATGCACGGCTGCTGCCTGGCTGTCAAGCGGGTGGGCAATGCATTTGTAATACATTCGATATGCTTTATTCTCAAAATGATCGAAACAAATTGGGGGAACAGATCAGGTGTTAGAGTAAGGTATGCGGGATGCGTTGTCAAGACGGGTTCATGCGTTGGTTGCGGGCAGCTATGCATGCGTCTTGTTGTCGGCAGCACCATGCTGTAATCGTGCTGTGACCTGGCTGGCGTGCAGGTCTGGCCGGTCATCGGGGAGCCCCGCCACCAACCAGCCCGACGACTTGCACAGCTCTCCGGCGAAGCCACCCACAAAGTTCAGCAACGGCCCGAACTCGCAGCTTGGGAGCAGCAGGGGCTCAGCTGAGTCATCTGCTTCCAGTTGGCGAAGCAACCGCGCCTGGCCTGTGCCGGCATGCAGCAAGCTATCGCCGTCGACCAGCAGCCGCCTGGCATCACCGGCAGCAGCAGAGGGCTGCAAGGCAGGCGCCGCCGCTGCCACATCTCCCGGCTGCAGGTTCCAAAACGTGTTCTGCCGGCCTGCACAGCACAGCAGGACAGCAGCGCAGCTTGTTGGTTGAGAGCGCATGTCGCAGCAGACGGCCACCATGGCCCCGCTGATAGCCAGCACACCCCACGCCGGCCCCATTCGAGCAGCCATGGCAGCCGACGACGACATGCGCTGATCCGGCGCACCTGCATGCGCCCCGCGGCCATCCCGGCCCCCCGCGTCAAACGGGCGAGCCGCCAGGCCCATGCCCAGCTGCGAAAACAGGTTGCCCCAAGGCCCGGAGCGGTGCAGGTCGAGGTTGAGGTTGGCACCGCCGCCTGAGCTGATCACGTTGAGCAGCGCGCCGCCCTCCAGCGATATGTCGTGATAGAAGGGAGCAGTGATGCGGAACCTGCGGCAAGGACAGGGCACCAATGCTGGGGCTGAAATATCCAGGCTGAGCAAGCCTGGGAAGCCTGCCACGCGCCACAACAGGCAGGCGAGGCAGGCAGTCTCAGCGGTGCAGGGACCCACCTGGTGACCAGGTTGGCGTGGCCTTTGCTCACGGTGATGGCATGGTGCCCATTCACCTCCCTGGTGTCAGGCTCCCAGCGCAGCTCAGTGACTCCCACCGTCACGTCTGCAGCAGGCCCAACACCAGAGAGCCAGAGAGTGGCAGTAGCAACAGACTACACCTACCAGCAGGACTAGGAAGGCCACGACGACACCACACCGGCACTACCGCCACCACCCCGCCGCCGCTGCAAGCCTGACCTGACAAGGTGGAGTGGTCGGTGCCTCGCAGCCGGATGGCATTGTCGGCATTGAGAATGGTCACCTGCAGGGCAGGCGCGGCCCAGCCGGCTGTGTTGCCACTGCGCAAACCTCTGGCGGGCAGCCGCTGCGACAACCTCTGGACCCCTCGCACACCTGGCGTATCCAGCAGTCGACGACATCTTCAAGCTCTATCGCATTGTATCCACGCTCAGCCAGGTGTGCGGCCATCATGCTGTGGCTGCAGCAGAAACGCAGTACAGAACGACTCAGCAACTGTCAGGCCCAGCTGCTGCCAGCGCAGTCGTGGCTCCTGTGTGGAGAAGCCAGGGAAGGACGCAGGCTGACAAGCTGCCGATAAACCGTCAACTGCCAAGTAGCGACTGCCGCCAGACTGCTCACTTGAACCGGATGGTCAGTTGCTCCACACCAGAGCACTGTACTGTGGGTTCAAACGCGTGCAGTACACCCGTCCACTGCGCCCGCACTGCACAAGGACAGCCAGAACAGCATTGTAGGCAGCGCTGCGAGTGCAGCAGCAGCTGGGCGCAGACGGTTTCGTTTGACGCTCAGCGGGAACAACTACGCGCCGCTGCGAATGGCAAGCGCATGCATCGGCTGTGCAGCAGCACCTGGAAACGGGAGCTCGCGATCCAGTGCCACCCAGTCTTTGCCTACGGATGCCACTCTGCAAGCAAACAGCAGCGGCATGCCAGGTGGGACTCGCCTCATCAAAAGCTCCCAATCTGCACCATGCAAGCCACTTTGACACGCCATGCTCTGGCACCAGGGATTTCATGCATATGCACCTGGCAGAGAAGGCGATTTCGTCCTCGGCAAGAGTCCCAGGCAGCCCACTGTCAGCCAGCCCGTCACCATACACAAAGGCTGCGATGCTGCCGTTGGGCGCAGACATCAACTGCGCCAAAGGGGCGCTGTTGTGTGCAGCGCCATCGGCACCTCCTGCCCCGCCGCCCGTGGCACCCTCAGCAATCATAGTTTCGCTCTCCTGCACTTCAGAGCTGCCCCGCTCGAGGGTCCCACCGCCAGCAGATGCGTCTGCAGGGGTGCAGCAGGGAGGAAAGCGGCATCACACTGAGCCACGGTAGCTGGGTTGGGTGCCCTGACCACATCCTGCTCCCCTTGCAGCGCAGGCGGGCTGCTGTTTGGGCGGCCCTCAGCCTGAAAGCAGCACGCATGGGCTGCACCCGTAGACGCATCATTGATGATTATGCGGACCCACTGGCCCAGCCTAAACTCCGCGGTGGAGTCAACCTGGACAGCATAGAAAGAAATAAAAAGCATGGACACGCATCTCCTGCCGTACACGGAGGCTGGATGCAGCAAGTTGATTGAGGCTTGCGCAAAGTGCTGCCATGCAGAGTGGCTGTAGCCGAATCACTGCCTGTGCCCCGCGACTCCTGCACGCCCTCACCGGGATCACAGATGCCCCCTGCTCCACACTGCCAGCGACGGTGGCCAGCAGCGTGGACGAGTCTGAGCTCTTGGTCCGCCTGCCGCTGCAAGCACAGGGCGTGGGTCCTGGGTTGATGCCAGAGGGATGCCGCTGCATCTCAAAGTGGATTGCCACACAAGAGCTGCCGTAACAAAGAAGCTGCTGTGCCTGTGCCCACCTGAAGGCGAGGAAGCCGCCCCGCGTGATCCAGGGCGATGTGACCTTGCCTGCACACGCAGAAGTGGCCAAAGCGGCAGCCGGCAGAGGTTGGCAGCAGCAAAAAGCTGGCAGGCAGCATGCACAGCCACAGCCTCACCGCTTGCATCCATGCTCCAGGTCCCCGGGAAGACGTCACTCAGAGGCAGCGGCACAAAGATTGTGGTGGCGTCTTCCTGCACCAGGAGCACCCGCAATGTGGGTCGCAAGCTGCCACAGCAGACGTGGTGAAGCACGCTGAATCCTGCGGCACAGCCACAGCCACTTCATGCTGAGCACACTCGATGTTAAGCCTGCATGCCACCCGCACCGCAGCTGGGCCTCACCCCTGCGCCTCGGATCACGACATTGGACCCAGCGATGCTCAGAGGCTGGGTCAGCACAAAGGTTCCGGCGCCCAAGTACACCACCCCTCCCTCATCGTCCTCGTGGGCGGCTGCCACAGCAACCTGCGGAGGGGGGGAGGCGGCACATGGTGCGGTGTGCTGATGCCTGATGATGCAGCACGGGCTGCACGTGCCGGCAGCCTTCTATGGTCAGTCAGCCCGCGACAAGCAGCAGCACGCGGGCACCTGCAAGGCCTGCGTGTCGTCCGTCACGCCATCCCCCGCGGCCCCGTAGTCGGCGGCGCTGTACTTGGCCGAGGGCGACGGGATGGCCTCCCTCCCGTCTGCGCCACAGGCAGCGGGTGGGATGCAGGGAGAAGAGGTCGTGGGACAAGAGGTTGTGAGACATCAGCCCTGCGCTTTGGCCAGCAACAGGGCCCTGTATACCTGCGGCATGCAGCAGCACCACCGCTACCATCACCACCAGCGGCGCACCTCGGTATCCGGCGCTGCTCCAGTCGAGGCCCCGACCCTCTGGCAGCTCCGTCAGCGGCGGCAACGGCGGGGGTGGCTTGCTGCCACTGGAGGACAGATGTGCGGTAAACGTGATCCCTGCAGGTGTGTGACCAGGGGGCGAATACACAACAGAATGGTAGAACGTGCACTTTGCAGGCGGCAGGCCAGAGGGCGCCAGGCGGGACGGCGGCTCCCCCTGCCGTGCGCTCCTTCGCATCTGCTTGCTGGCATGACTTGCCTGCTAGCACAGCCGTCAAAATGGCGACTGCTAGGCCCGCTGCCAAGACCACCACGCCCGGGGCCAGGCTGCTTCTCTCTGCCATCTCTCCTATTGGAGCCGCTGGTGGTTGTTGTGATCGGTGCAGGCGAAAAAGGGGGCTAGATGCTCCCACCCTGTCCACCCCTCGCGGAGGAGGGACGGCGGCCGCGTTCCACCCGCATCCACCGCCGCTCCGGTGGGGGTTTGCTTGCGGCGTGTGGGAAGGACACGTTGGGGTTAGTTGGACTATCGTGCGGCATACAGGCGTGGGAGGAGTACTGATGTGCCATCCTGATGTGGCGGCAGCACAGCCGGCACTTCGCGATGACCAGGTTGCTTCCTTGGTGGCTGGGTGTAGTACATTACACTGGAGTTGGATGATATTAAGACGAATGTACGTATTGACGGTTTGCGAGGAAACAGGAGCATGGGAAAGCACTGGCTTTGGCAACAGGAGCGCAGTGACGTTTGCCATGAAAGCTGGAGGAAACAGTAGTGTAGACAAAATTAGGGAAGGACTGGGGGCCACACAGATGTGGGACTGCAGGGGAACATGGCAGAAAATTCTCGGCGGGGCTGGTACCGCTACCGCGGGCGGGTGGGTGATGCGCGGCGGCGGGGCGCCAGCCAGGGCGTTGAGAAACCATTGGTACGATAAACGAGGTTTGTTGAGTTTCGATTCAGCAGGAAACGCCCATGAGGCTCGCCAACGAAATGGAAGAGAAATCGGGTGTGGTGGGTTTTGGTTCAGGGAAGGGGATGTGGACTGCGCTCGGCGCTCAGGGCTGGGCGGGGGCGGAGACGTAGGAGGCGAGGCCTCCCTGCGCGGCGCCGCCCTCCAGCGACAGGCGCACCTCCTCCAGCGAGGGGCGCGGCTTGAAGCCAAGCTTCTGGCCACGCGCCCGCTCATCCAGGAAGTCGGCAGCCATCTTGCGCAGCGCGGCGGCGCTGGCAGCCCCCGTCTTGTCCACCAGCTGGCTGAAGGCGGACTGAGGGTTGGCCAGCAGCTCGTCGGGGGTGCCCATCTCGCACACCTGGCCCGCATCCATCACAACCACCAGGTCGGAGCGGATCACGTTGTCCAGCCTGCAGGCGGGAGGGGAGGGAGGGCAGGTGGGAGGGTGATCAGAAGAGGTCCAGGGATACACAGCCAGCAGCCAGCAGGGGCAAGAGAGCGGCTCAGCCACCTCGTCCCAGCCACCACCCAGCAGACACCCGCGCGCAGCCCCAGCTGCCCACCTGTGCGCGATGGTGAGCATGGTGCGGTCTGAGAAGATGCGCTCAATGATCTCCAGCACATGCGCCTCGGTGTGGGGGTCCATGGCGGCGGTGGCCTCATCCAGGCACAGCACCGGCACCTTCTTCAGCGCGGCGCGAGCCAGGCACATCAGCTGCTGCTGGCCAATGGACCAGGCGTTGCCGCCGGTACCGTCCAGCTTGGCATCCAGGCCACCGCACGCCTTGACCTGTGCGCATGAGGAGGGAGTGGCAGGGTGTGAGGTGCAAGGCGAGGAAAGCAGGGAAATGCCCCGCACTCCCAGGTTTGGTGGCGGGCCTTGCAGCCTATCAGGCAGCCAGCAGGCAGGCAGGCAGCCAGCCAGCCCATAGGACCACCCCACACACCTGCTCCTCCAGGCCACAGTCGCGCAGCGCCTCCCACAGGATGGCGTCTGCGCCGAACTCTCCAAAGGGGTCCAGGTTGGTGCGCACGGTGCCGCTGAACACGGTGGGCTCCTGGGGGATGACCGACAGGCCGCGGCGCAGCTGCTCCAGGGTGAGGGTGGAGATGTCGATGCCGTCCAGGGTGATGGCGCCGCTCTCCAGGTTGAACATGCGGTAGAGAGCCAGCAGCAGGGTGGACTTGCCGGAGCCGGTGCGCCCCACCACGCCAACCTTGTCGCCGCTCTTGACCTTGAAGGAGACGCCGCGCAGGGCGGGGGGCAGGTGTGGGGCGTACTTCATCACAACCTGGTTGAACTCAAGCACGCCGGTGCGGGGCCAGCCAGAGGGCAGCTTGGGGCCGCCGGTGGGCACAATAGCAAGGTCCTCGTCCTGCACAGCAGAGCACCGACAGAAGCAGATGGTGAGGTGCGCCATGGGCTGCAGCATGCGCCTGCTGATCCAACCTCCTCCACAGCAGCGCATCTGCACAGTGCAAGGCACACCTTGAGAGGAGGCAGGAACTTTCCAGCGGTGCCCCGCTTCTTGGGGGCAGCCTTGGTCTCGCCGCTGCCGGGCAGGCTGGGTGGATCCAGGCTGCCGGCCTCCTGGGGTGTGTGGTTGGCCAGCCAGGCAATCTTCTCGGCGGATCCAAACAGGCCGATGCACTCGGCCACCAGGCGGATGGACCAGGTGTAGAACACAAGCATCTGCAGGGGGAAGCGGGAAGGGCAAGCAGCAGGGGGAGGGGGTCGGCACCAGGGTGGGAACAAGGGCAGGCATAAGACACAAGAGCTCGCTTGCCCCAACTCCTGAGCAGCCCCCCCACCCCCACCCACCCACCCACCCCACACACACACCTGGATGGACTGGGAGAAAGCGAGGCCAACGGAGGAGGAGCCCAGGGTGGACCACTGGCCGATGCCGAAGCAGGCCACCGACAGCACCATGCAGGCGCCGAAGAAGTCGCAGATGAAGGCCAGCCACAGGTTGAGGCTCTCGGCGCCAAACAGGGCGCGGTGGGCGTCGTTCACATACTGCAGAGCGGGGCGGCATGGCACGGCGCAGGCGAGGAGGAAAGTTCAGGCGCGCGCCAGAGGGAGCATGGCCAGAGGCTGTCTCACTCCACCCAAGCACGGCTAGCACAGCCGCTCCAGTGCAGGTTGCCTGCCTCACCTGGCTGGTGATCGTGGTGAAGTAGGCCTGCTTGCCGTAGGCCTGGATCACGCCCAGACCGTCCAGAGCCTCAGCAATCAGGGTCACCACGTCGCCTGCAGCAGGGAGCAAGGTTGGGAGGCAGGTGATTTGAGGTGATGGCAAGGGAATAGTATGGCGGGCAGCAGTGGTGAGCCGCCACCCCCCTTGCACCACCGCCCCGCACCTGAGGTGCCCATGCGCAGCTTCTTGAGGTGTGTGGCAGCGGGGAGGTAGATCGCCAGCATGATGCCCGACACCACAAACAGGCCGCCTGCCAGCGCGGAGAACAGGGGGATGGTGACTGAGACGGTGATGGCGGTGGCCAGTAGGATGAGGCCGTAGATGCCGGCGTAGTAGAGGGCGTCAGGCAGGGCATCATCCATCACATCCTGGTCCTTGGTGAAGCTGACCAGCAGGTCGCCCACGGGGGTCTGCAGGGAGGGTGGAGGGGGGTGGGAACAGGTGGGTGAGAAGAGGCAGCCAGAACAGGCGAGAGGGAAGTGCTGCTGCAAAGCAGCCACGCCAATCTGCACATGCCGACAATCGCCCCAGCACCACCCAACCAGCTGAGACGCACGGTGAGGAAGAAGCCGAGCGGTGCGTAGAGGACGCGGTGGATGGACTTCTCGTGCTGCCGGTAGCTGGCGCCCAGAGACCAGGTGTAGAGGAAGGCGCCGCGGAAGGCCATGAGCACGATGAAGCAGAGGAGGCCCAGGATGCCGTAGTACTGGACGTAGAACAGGGGGCCGCACGGGTTGTCGCCCTCGTCGATGCACAGCACACCATACTTGTTGTAGTGGTCGCGGGTCCACCAGCGGATGAAGTAGTCTGCAAGCTGCAAGGGAGAGGGTTTAGGGCGAGCGGCAAAGGTGGAACCAGCCCTGTGGTGCCTGGGCTGGCCAGCAAGCGGTGCTGCTGAGCGAGCTGGAGGCGGCACCACGCTGACTGCGGTTGCAGGCACACCCACCCACCTGGCGCGAGGCCTGGGCGGTGAGGAAGAAGAAGAGGGAGAGGCAGAAGATGATCCAGCGGGCGTCCCAGCAGTACTCCCACAGGGCAGACTTGAGGGTGAGGCTGGCGCTGTGCACCCTCTTGGCCTTGCCAGCGTCCTCGGTCTGCAGCAGCAGCGAGGGGAACGGCGGGCGGCTGTCAATTGCCTGGTCTTGCCCGAGCTTAGAGGCCTCCACAGGGGCAACCGCAAAGTGCAGGGCCGGCTCCACCCGCACCTTCTTGGTTTCCTCCTTCTTGACAACCTTCTTCTTGGTGTCGCGCGGCTGCTCGGCGTTGCCGCCGGCAGCCAGAAGGTGGCTGGCGGGGAGGTACTTGGAAAGCAGCTGCTGGGCGGCGGCGTTCCAGGGGCCAAAGTAGACGCAGGTGCCGTCGTCCATGATGGCAACCTTGTCGCACTGGGGCAGGAACTCAACCTGCAACAGCCGGCCAAGGGAAACAGGTCAAGAGGCTGGCAGGCTGTCGCAAGGGCAGGCAGGCGGCATGCCGGTACACACTCTCCAGCCAGGCCACCCAGCACGCCGCTGCGCCCCACCTGGTGCGTCACCAGCACGGTGGCCTTGTCGCGGAACATGCCGCGCACGCAGTGCTCAAAGATGTGGTGGGCGGTGTGGTGGTCCACAGCAGACAGGGCGTTGTCCAGCAGCACCAGGTCGCCGTCAAAGTAGGCGCAGCGGGCCAGGTTGAGGCGCTGGCGCTGGCCGCCAGACAGGTTGATGCCGCGCAGGCCCGCCTTGCTCTGGTCGCCGGCAGCCAGGATCGCCAGGTCAAGCTCCAGGGCGCAGGCGTGGATGACCTGCAGGCGCGCGGCACGGCAGCAGCAGCAGTGGTCAGAGGGCCGGCACAGCACAGCACAGCACATGGCTCTGGTAACTCGTGCGCTGCCAGGCAGCAGCAACCGGGGAGACGTGCCTATTCCCCTCCATTTTTGTGAACCAAGCCAGCCCCGAAGCTGCCAGCCCACCTGCTTGTACTTGGCCTCATCCCAGGGCTGGCCAAACGTGATGTTGTCGCGCAGGGACAGGTTCTGGCACCAGGCCGTCTGGGGAACGTAGGCAATCCTGCCGCCAGAGTGGGCGGTGCCCTCCACCTGCACCATGGACCAGCAAAGGAGCAGTGCAGCAGAGTGAGGGATTAAGTGGGCCAGGAAAGGAAGACCAGAAAAGGGAGACAGGATGAGGCGCTGTGCTGGCACTTGGCGAGACCACTCGCCGTCTGCATGTTGCCGAGCATGGCCTGCAGGATGGAGCTCTTGCCGGCACCGACGCGGCCAACCACCGCCACCAGCTCTCCGGCCTTGACGCTGAACTCGGGCACACGCAGGGTGAAGCCGCTGGTGTCCATCTCGTGCCTCAGCACAGCCTGCAGCGGGGAGCGGGAGGGGCGCGATGGGAGTGAGAGGGGAGGGAAGCATGTCCAGCGCATGCATGTGTGGGACATGGACGACGGCAGATGGTGTGTCGGCTGCTGCCGCTGCTTCATGCACTCGAGGCATCCCCCACCCAGCCCACCTTGCTCAGCTGGGCGCCGGGCTTGCCCTCCAGGTCCTGGCGCGGTGCCACCGGCTCAGCCAGGAACTTCTCCAGGTTGCCCACAGAGCGCAGGGCCTCCGACACACAGCGCATGGCCTTGGGCAGCACCACCAGGGGGAAGCGCAGCACGTTGAACAGGGAGAGCATGGTGAAGGCGGTCTGGGGCTTGATGTAGGGCTCGCTGGTGGAGGAGTCGACGTGCCACAGCTCGTAGGGGACCAGCACGGCAAAGGTGACCATGGGGGGCACGCCAAACACCATGGTCACGTTGACGGTCTTCACCACAGCGTTCCAGAACATGTAGTGGCGCTCGCGGGTGCGCATGTCAGCCACCTGCAGGCACAGGGGGCGAGGGAGGGAGGGGAGGCAGGGAATAGTGAGTGGGCAGGCAGGCAGGCGGGCTGGTCGCTCAGCAGCATGGTGTGCAGCACAGCATGACAAGCAGCCCAGCCCAGCCAGCTCAACAGGTCTGCTGCCGGCAGGCTCACATGCTTCTCGAAGAAGCGCTCCCAGGCGTAGTACTTGACCAGCTTCATGGCCGGGAGGATCTCCTGCAGGCGGGGAAAGGGAAGGGCAGGCGGCATGTGTCAGGCGCAGAGCTGAAACGCAATAGGAGCAAGGAGCACAGGAGCAGAAGCAGCAGTGGCAGCCAGCCGGCTTCACCTGGATGATGGACCAGCGCTCGGTGACGTTGGGCGCGTTCTTGATCTTGTTCTTGATGATCTTGTAGCCAAAGTAGTACTGGAGCGGCACCACCATGCACACGATGATGACGCCGCCGATGCAGTACACGCCCACCAGGGTGCCCAGCAGAGCCAGGATGGCACCCGCCTCCACGGGGGCGCCCCTGCGGGGTTGAGGAGGTGGGCAGGGGCGGCACGTGTGAGTGCAGGAGGATGCTGTCAGCCGGCGGGCTGGCCAGGCCATGCATGCATCTACGCACTTGTGGCAGGCAGCCCCCCGCTGCCCTGCTTCCCGCGCTCACCAGAGGTAGTGCACTTCCTGGATGCCCTCAAAAACCTTGTTGATGTCGCTGGCAACAAAGCCCACAGCCTCGGCGGCTGTGTCCTTGGTCAGGTGGGCCATGTTGTAGCACTTGCGGGCGATCATGGTGGTCAGGGCGGCACGCGCCTTGATGCCGACCTTGAGGCAGTTGAAGGCCATGCGCTGCAGCATCATGCCCAGCAGCCAAGCGTCCAGGAAGAAGAAGCCGGTCAGCACCCAGCCCTTCCACTCGGTGTCGTAGATGGAGTCGTCCTTGCCCTCCAGGGTGCGGATGCACATCAGGATGGAGCGGGTGAAGTAGTAGGCTGCAGCACGGGCGGGCGCAGGGAAGGCAGGGGAGCAGGGTCAGGGCCAGGCAGAGGCAGCTTGGCTCGGGTTGCGTGGCAGCGCTCAGCGGCAGCAAGAAATGCCGTTAGGTGAATGCAACCAAGGTGCAATCCGGTCCCGCCCAGGCCAGCCAACACGGTGGCAGTGACTCACCTCCAAGGATCACAAACACGGACCACATCAGCTTGAAGATGCCAGCCAGCACAATGTCCTTGCCATAGGTCTTCCACAGCACCTGCGGCAAGTGAGGGCCGGGCGGCGCGGCGGCTGCTGAGGAGGGTGCATGTTGTAGGGGTTGGGCGCATGGCACGTTGCCGACTGCCAATACAAAAGCCGAGCAGCACACGCCCGACTCATGCAGCCATGCAGGATGCTGGTGCGTTTTCCTTCGCAGGAGCTGCCGCAGGCAGCAGCACAGGTTGTAGCGTTTTCGAGCGCTGGGAGCTGCCGCCCGGCGCCGCCACCCCGCTGCACCACCCACCTTCATCAGCTTGGGCTCCTTGCCAGCCTTCTTGGCCTCCTGCACAGCCGCCTCCCAGTTGGTGTTGAGCTCCTCGTAGCAGGGCTCAGCCTGCTGAGCCTCGGGCAGCGGCAGGTCGGCCACCTCAACCTCGCCGCGGCGGGCAGCGGGGACGATCCTGCAGCAGCGCGGGCATTTGCTGGTCGTTCAACGCGACCCAGGTAGCCTCCCGAGGCCAAATGCAAGTGCAGGGAAACCTACTCTTGAGGAGCTTACCACCTACGGGCACCATTGCAGTTCCATCTGCCCCGCCACCCCCTCTAGGCCCTCACTTGTTCATCCATCCGAAGGACCACAGGTCAAAGGCGCTTTGGGAGGGCTCTTTGCACAGGCGTGTGTCGGGGGACGCGCCCGGTGCGTGCTGGGGGGGGACACCCCGAGAGCACGTGTGGAGAGGGGTGTGGTACTCTTCTCCGTTGAGACGCGAGACGGGAGAATGAAATATGGGGATTGGATGTTTTAGGAACGTGGGGGGGTGTTTTGTACCCACGCTCTGCCAGAGTGTTTCTGGCCCTCGTGGCAGCTTTGGCGATGGGCGGGCGATGAGGACTGCTGTCGCGTCCAAATTTCGCCAATCAGCTGGCGATGGCACATTGAGGATTGGCGAAATGCGGGGGAGCCACCCTTGCGCCTGGCACAGCGCAGCGGCCACATGCGGCGCCGCTGTTGCTTTGTCGGCACTTGCCTCCCTTTTGGGGGACTGGGGGCGAAGCCCCCAGCAAGCTGGCGCTTGTTTAACACTATGGAGTGAAGTTCCTGAGGAAAATTGGCCATTTCTCCTCAAAATATTGGCGATGTCAGTCATGGGGGCTGGCGACGCGCTGGCGATGTCGCCCCGCCGCCTGCCCTCATTTAGCCAGCCCTGGCTGGCGATGGCCTTCGGCCAATCGCCAGCCAGAGCCGTTTTTTGGCCCGATTTCGCCAGCATTTGGCGATTTCGCCAGCTTTCAGAAACACTGCATTCTGCCAGGCTGGAGCCAACGTGGCGGCTACCATCTCGGTGGAAGACACTCTAATCGCCTGTTAAATGGCGTTCTGACTGCTGCATTCGATACAGGTAACTTTGAACCCCATCTCGACATCGCGAAGCAGCCAAATCGGCCCCATTTGCCCAACTACAACTGGGCTGATTCGGGGTACTGCAGGGACCTCGTTGGAGATCTATAATGCATCGAATGGCGCATCGATGCTCTACCACTCCAACCATGCAGTCCAGGGCCTGCAGCCGGTGGAACCTCCCTGCCTTCCTCTTCTCCTCTTCAAGCCAACCGCAAGCTCTGCCGCCCCCTTTTTGTGCGAGGTCCTAACCTGCCCAGAATTTCAGCACTGACTATAATGTGAAAAGTCAGTTTTAAAGCTGGTATTGTGTGTTTAGCAGCACATGGGCGCCATGGCCAGCCGACCCTGCTGCTGCCGCCTCCATCAGGGCGCTGCCAGCAGTTGTTCCCAGCCGTCCGGCAGCGCCAACACAACCTTGCCATCCTCTGCCTGGGCCACCGCCAACAGCTCCGCGCCCACAGCAGGCTTGCCGCCAATCTTGCACGACAGCAGCACCACCAACTCGCCGCTCTCTGGCTCATAGCGCCGTATGCCGCCCATAGCAGTACCCTCCTCCACCTCGGATCCCTCGCCTGCTGCTCCATTGTTGCTGCCCGTAGTGCTGCTGCCATCGTCGTCGCTACCGCTGGCAGGGCGGGCCTGAGGCGGCGCTCCCACATATCCTCGTAGTTGCGACAGATCCTGGCCACGAAGCACGCGCTGCAGCTCCCCCACGGCATCAGCCGCGTTGCTACCGCTGGCACCGCTGCCCCCATCCGTCAGCAGGCTGCCGCTGTCAGGCAGCAGCACCCCCTCCTGTGTGCTAAACAGGCCGCCCAGGCTGTCCAGCTGGCTGCTGGCGATGTAGCAGGCTGTCCAGGACAGGAGGTGCAGCTGTGGATTGTTCTCCAGCGGTGTGCCTGCGCATTGGTGCGACAGCAGGTGAGAGGGTGGAGGTGAGCAGCCGCAAGGCTTGTGTGCAGATCGCCACAACAGAAGCGTGCATGCACGGCACAGCGCACAACAGGCAGAGGGCAATCGATGCACACATGCGAGGCCACAATGCCAGAGTACGTTCAGCCTGCACTGTGCCTCACCCTGCTCTACCGATAGTGCTTTTGCCGCTGCGCCAAAGCCCTTGGAGGCGCCGCTGTCGTTCCTTGCTTTGCGCGACCGCTTGTCCAGCCGGCTGCGCACAAACACAAAACCTGCAGGTGCAGGGACACCAGCAAGCGGCACTGTCTGCAGAGCCGCGGAGTGCGCATGCCGATTCCCGCTGCTTGTCGCAGCATGAAGGAGGCTGCAGCGCCAACGTGGCACGGCAATGGCAGCAAGGGCAGCGCAGGGCAGCTGCGTCCTCACCTCTGCCATGGTGCTGGTACCCCTCCTCTGCCAGCCGCGCCATGCGTGCCGCCCTCTCGTTGTCATAGCAGTCTGCCGCAAAGGCGTCGTCCCAGTCGCACATCAGCTGCTCAAACGCCGCCACCTCGCTGCACGGCGGGGCGGGCGTCAAACGAACCAACTCGCAGAGGGGCTGTGCGCGGCCACTTCTGTGCAGCACACAGACAGCAGGAACTAGGAAACACAGGGATTAAAGGCACGAGGTTTGACGTCCGGCTGCATGCCACTCACTCCAGCTCCTTTGACTTCTTGCTCTTGTGTGTGGCGCCGCCGCTGCCGCCGCCACGCTTGGCCGCCGCCCGCACTCCCCTGCCTGGACATTGCCGTGATCGCTCTGCATGCAGCGGCTGTGGGTCCGGGTGCCATGTACGCGGCGCCTGGCTGCGAATTCTGCCCCGCTGGGCCAACAGCGGCACCATGGCGGCGAATGTGGTGGACGCCATCCAGCGGGTCGCTGCCTTCCTTATGTGGGCAGCAGCTCATCTGCGCATCGGTTTCACGATTTCCTTTTCGGGGCAGCAGAGTGCCACCTGGAGGGTATTGTCAGATAATTCTTGGCAATTGAAAGTGCTGGGACGTGGTGCATCCCTGCCGCACCTCTGATCATCCAACCATGGCTGTGGCAGTGCACTGGGCTGCCGCCCAGGCGCGACGGTCAGAGGTGCCCTGCGCGGCAACGCAGCAGCAGGCTCAAGTGCATGCCAGCTCCTGCACCTTGCCGTCCTGCACCGGATGCAGCAGCCAGGCCCGCCGGGCACAACCATCTACCCTTCTGCGACGACCCACCCGGTGGCAGCGGCGGGTGGCGGCCAGTGCTTCGCAGCGGCAGCAGCGCGACCCAGCCTCCTACAGCAGCATGGACGAGCTGTGGCAGGAGCTGGAGGGCGACGGCAGCGTGGGCTGGGTCACAGGGTTCGTCCAATGGCTGGGCGGCGCCGCCAATGCTGCTCGCAGCTCAGCCTCGCCGCTGCAGGTGCGTGCACCTCCTGGCCGCTCGCTGGGCCTCATGTTCCCCTGCAAACACGTCAAAAGCACGACATGTGCTGGGATGGGGCATCTGGCTTGCTCCGTTACCAATGCAATTAAGAGTAGGTGGTGCGGGTTGCAGGCAGCCTATCGACGTTTGATAAACAGCGCGCCGCTGAGACGCCACGACTCCAGCGACAGCGGCAGCTTTGACCTAGACGAGTCGGATGTGAGTGATCTCCAGGCACCCGCCCAGCCTGCCCCTGGTTGATCGATGTATCAGCTGGTGCATTGCTACTGGGCCGCTGGTGTGCCCGCCCAACAGGCTCAAGGCGGTATGCGGTGCTCACCAGCCTCACCACCTCGCCTTCCTCGCCATGCAGCTGGACCCGGTGGCGGTGCAGCAGCTGCAGGCCATCTTGCTGGGCAGCCGTGCCTCCACCATCAAGCTCATCCGGCGCTGCCCCCAGATGCTGGAGATGGAGCGGCAGGAGCTGATTGTGCGGCTCGTGGGCATGAAGGTGCTTGCCGGGTCGGCTGGGTTTGGATGTTGTCGTGTGGGCTGGGCTGTACCGCTTTTGGGCTGGCAGGCTGGCAGCCGGCCACATGGGCTGGAGCGTGTAGCCTGCGGAGCCCTGCCCGACAGCCGCCAAGGGGTACCCCCTCGCGCACACGTGCCCCTGCAGGTGTTGTTCCCCGGCGCCGACGTGGCGTGCATGGTGGAGTTGGCGCCAGCCGCCTTTTTGGACGGGCCGTGGCCGCCCAAGGCGCAGCAGCTAGAAGCCGCCAACCAACTGCTGCAGAAGGAGCTGGACGGGGCGGATCTGAACTGCATGTACCAGGTAATCTACTAGGTGTGGCGGCAGGCTCAGCCAACCACCAGGACCCAGCATCCCCGGCGAAGTGCTGGCTAGCAAGGTTGTTGTTGCATGTGTTGATTGTGTGCGCTTATTGGCTGGACTGCCTTGCTGGCCGCGCAGGAAGACCCCATGATCCTGTTTGAGCCGGTGAGCCTTCATGCTGCTGCATCTTCGACTGCACTTGCTTGCCTGCCAGCCATGACATCCCACCCACCCTCTTCCCCTGGTCTACCATGCCAGGTGGAATCGCTGCGAGTGGGGCTGCGCCGTCTGCGGGAGCTGTGGCCGGGTCTGACCCCTGCGGCGTTGGCAGACAGCGAGCCGCTGCATCTGTCGCTGGCGCTCAAGGCGCTCGGCCTCAACGGCCCGCCAAAAGGCTACTGAGGCGGGCTGGCATTTTCATTCCATTGATTTGATTTTATTTGCGCAACATTGCAGAACCAACCATCTTGTCAGTTCTGTCAGCCTCCCATGCAATTCCCGCCAGCATTTCATCAGCTGGGTGGGTGGGTCGCACTCATGCACTGGGCTTCTGGGCTCCTCATACAGTGGGCTTCCATGGTGCGAGCGCTGAAGAGCGCTGGTTGTGGGTAGGCAGGCAGCGGGGCAGCAGCAGGGGCGGCATTTAGAGGTGGTGGTCTTTGCAGCAGGGATCACGCCAGATGCAGTTGTCGGAGCTGCATTTGGGCAGTTCACAATGAGTCGCCACCCACCGTGGCGGACCTGCAGGGCAGGAGGAAGGACAGGAGGCACATTCAGCGGGAAGAGCAGCAGCGGCGACAGAGTGCGCGGTGCAGGGGTTTGTGCTGGGAGGTGGTGGCCAGTGCTCGAGGCAAGAGAGCACCGGCAACCCCTCCCAACCCCTCGTGGGAGGATCGTGGGTTTAGGCCTACCGCTAGCCCCAGCCGTGGCCCCGCCGCCGGTGCGAGG